TATCGATACTGTAATGAATCAGGACGAAATTGTTAATTATCCAACTGAGTTCTTAAATTCTCTTGATTTGCCAGGCATGCCACCCCACATTTTAACCGTGAAAATTGGCGTGCCCATATTTCTTCTCAGAAACATCAATCCGCCACGTCTTTGCAATGGTATCAGGCTTTCAGTGAAAAGGCTGATGCTCAATATCATCGAAGGTACAATTTTAAAAGGGAAATTTAAGGGCGAGAATATACTTTTGCCACGCATCCCAATGATTCCAACAGACATGCCATATGACTTCAGACGCTTGCAGTTTCCGGTGCGACTCGCCTTTGCAATGACCATAAACAAATCACAGGGACAATCCCTACAAGTGTGTGGACTACGTTTGGAACATCCATGCTTTCTACATGGACAGCTATATGTGGCCTGTTCACGCGTTGGAAAACCTTCTAATTTATTTGTGTACGCGCCAGACGGAAGAACAAAGAACATTGTTTACCCAAAAGCACTTCAGTAAACACATTTTTAATGTTACATTACCAGCACAATGATCCAATATAATTACATTTTGTTGAAGCGATTTTCCTTTCAATTCACTTTCTATTGTAGCAACGCGTGCAGGGTTGTTTACAGCAATTAGCAAATGTTCTCATTTCGTAATTATGGTGTATTTTTCCTCTTTTTATTGCTTTTCACTAGGGTAATTTTTCCAACTACTTCGATGAAGGAGAAAGTAGTATGTGAACTGGGGGATGGGTGGTTACAATAAAATGTTTACTGAGATAGATTTAAGTTACAGTAACTGCCTTACCCACTCAAAGTTTTATTAGCTGTGGTTTAGCTGTTGCACTGTACATCGCTAGCGTGAAGCGAAGACACATTTCTATGTTCTCCATTTTCCATGTAGCCAAATTACGCCACAGCAACGCGTGGCCGGGTACATCTAGTATATATATATATATATATATATATATATATATATATATATATATATATATATCGGGAGAGGCAGAGAGTGAGACAAGGGAAGAATCATGCCGAATGACCACAAATATGTAAGACAATGACACAGGGAATTCCCTATGCATACAAGGTCGGCATTACTGGCTCCAAGAAGGGGACAGTAAATTCAAATGGCTCAGTCAGATCAGATACAGTCCCTGCTGTGACAGAAAGTTGAGGCTGTAATAAAGGACTGCCGTAGAAAGGTGCACCCAAGGGACGGTTTCAGAAAGAGATGCATACTTTGTGGTAGGGTAACATTGCTTGAAAAATGTAATCTGCAAACCACCAGGGGTTGCATTCACATTTTCTAGGTTCTAGCAATAGTAATACACTAGCGATGACTAATAATAATTATTAACAGCTCAGCCAATACATGCATAAATAGAGAGATGGAGAGAGAGAGAGAGAGAGAGAGAGAGAGAGAGAGAGAGAGAGAGAGAGAGAGAGAGAGAGAGAGAGATCATCGCGTAGCTAATTACAGCAAATTTAAAGCGTTCATTGAGTCTTCTGTTTCGATATCCAAACGTGCTTGTTGTCAGCAATACAGTTTTTGCGTGCATCGTTCAAGGCCTGAGAACAGAAAATCAAGTGCTGTGTCTCTACGTTCATTTCTAGGTGGCCACGGAGTCAAAGATGGAACTGTTGTAGCAGGGTGCTTAGATAATGTCGTGTTCTCAGGTGTATCTGGTGTATCCTGAAAGGTGAAATATTTACAAGAAGAGAATTCCGAGTGTCTGTAATTATTTCTTCTTCCATTCCTGAACCCGCCTACATCAGAACAAATGTTTCTCCATTAAATGCAAAGATCTTAGAAGGTAGGATAAGAGCAAAGGTTGAACCTCTACTGAGTAAAGCACAATTCGGTTTCAGGAAAGGGCGAGGTTGCACTGATGCCATATTTGCACTAAGACAAGTCTGTGAAAAGACACTCGAATACGATAAAGAGCTGAACGTGGTCTTTGTAGATCAAGAGAAGGCATTCGACCGTGTAGACAGAGATGTGCTGTGGAGAATTCTTGACGATTACGGAGTGCAGGGTCAATTATTAGACAACATCAGAGCCCTCTATGAAAAAAGTGAAAGTGCAGTAAGAACATCTAGTGGTCTTTCTGAATGGTTCAAAGTCACAACTGGTGTCAGACAAGGATGTGTACTGTCACCATTACTTTTCATAACATACATGGATAAGATCACTGTAGAAGCAAACCCAGACGTGTATGCTATAAACGAATTACTTTTTGCTGATGATCAAAGCATACTGTATCAAAATGAATATGATCTACAGGAACATCTGACTACTCTCAACAACAGCTGTTTACAACATAATATGAGAATCAGTACAGAAAAAAACAGAAGTTATGAAGATCAGCAGAACACACAGGCCACTGAATATAAATGTTGGAAGTGCCAAAATCAAGCAAACCAAAGAGTTCAAATACTTGGGCAGTATATTCACAGAGGATGGAAGAATGGACAGAGAGATAGAAACAAGAATACAGAAAGCAAATGCTGTCACATACCAACTATCACCTCTGCTTAAACATCCAGATATAACCATGAAGACCAAAAGACAATTGATAAACACCATCTTCATTCCAACACTCTGCTACCAGTGCCAGACATGGACAATCAACAAGACCCATGAAGAAAAATAGAAGCCTGTGAAATGAAATGTCTAAGAAAAGCAGCGAATAAGACCAGACTAGACAGGATAAAGAATATAGACATTAGAAACACTGTCAAAACTACACCATGTTTAGACTACATAGAACATCAAAGAATGAAATGGTTTGGACATCTAACCAGGATGAAAAATGATCAAATAACATCACAAATTTTCAACCAAAGAAGCTCAGGATATAAGGCAAGAGGAAGACCAAGGAAACGGTGGATTGACGGGGTCTCCGAAACCTGCCAAAAGCATGGCCTCAGAACATCAGATGCTGCCCGCCTTGCTTATGACAGGAACTTGCATCTCCCCACAACGCTTAGCGGCATACGTGGAAGGAAAAAGTAAGTAAGTAAAGTAAGTAATGTGTCCGGGAGAGCGGGGCTTATATTGGTTGATGGCCTGGTTTCATATTCCACGTTTTACTGGTGTAATATTGTCCTCTTTCTGTCTCACACAGATAGTAGCGGGCTAGTCGCCTTTAATAACCGTTGGAAATACCGCGCGTATAATTTTCTTTGTAGTGTCATTAGAGCATGGAATGGTCCAGATGCCTATAGTTCGTTAAATGAGTCCAGCAGCTAGCTTTTCCCTAGTATTACTATCTTTTAAAAAGGCTGTCCTATAGTAGTCACAAATGTTTCCTTTGTATAGCGTGATACTTGCGGGTCGTCTCTCGGTTAGCCAGTATTCTGGGTGGTGATAAATCTCAATGTTAGTTAGTTAGTCTTTCCTCTTGTGTCGAGTGCGGCACATAGGGCAGAGGTCATGACTCTCCATGCATGGCGGTTCGTTGCAATCTGTTGTAGGTCTTGGATGTTTGAGTGGCCCATGAGCGAGCCTTCCCTGATGATAGTTCTACGTAGAGTTTCCCTTGGTCTTCCACGAGATCTTTTCCCCTGTGGTGTCCAAATGAGGGCTTGGTAAGGAAGTCTTGATTTATCCATTCTAAGGGCGTGGCCGACATAGTTCCAGCGGCGTTTTCGTATAAAATTAGACACATACTCTTGCCTGGATTCTTGCCTTATTTGTGTATTTGTTCGGAAATCTGACCATTTGAAATTTAGTATTCTTCTAACAAATTTATTTTCAAAACTGTCTGATTTTGTGTCTAGAGTTTTCGTTGATTTCCAGCTCTCGCATCCATAGGTTAGTACTGGAATCACACAAGAATTGAAGATGTTAAAGGAATAATCTGAACACCTATGGATGTTTTAGATTGCTGTGACGATAATGCAAATCATAACTCCATGCAGAATGGATAACTTTACATATGTATTTGGATAGGTTATTTATTTCTATTGGTTAGCTTGAGGGGAAAAAATGCAGCATACCTAATCCGAAGGGTGACACACTAGAAGGGGAGAGAAGGTCAAGGTTTTTTAGGAGGCGCCTTTTCCAGCTGCATGAGTAGCTCACTCTCAGGTAATGGCGGAGTGGTAGAAGACCAGCTGATCAAATGACAACCTAACGGCACCAAACTAAATCAGTTTCTTAGACGAACAACTACAAAACATTGTGTTTTGTTGTTCTGAAGTTCCAAAACAAAATCAAAATTTATTAGGCTAATAAAACGAAGACCGCTATAGATAAATTTAGTCAATGATCAAAAGTGATTTTTACGAGAAGCGCTAAGTGTTTTAGTGTAATAAGCATATTTCTGAACTAAATTATGTTAGGAAATTTTGGACTCCGTAGACTACACATAATCTTTGATCAATAACTGTTTTAAAAGTGTCTTATAAAATGTTCTTGTTAGAGAAAGACATATTTCCCGCCCCCTTTTATGTGTTGTCTTTTGCAAGAAATGGCAAAAATATATGTCGTTTATGCTTATTAGATTATTTTCATTACAAAGAACTGTTTTATATAATAAATTCAGTTTAAGTTGTGGTTACATTCGTTTATTTCTCCACACGTTGTAACATTTACCCCTTTCTAAATTATCTACTGGGCCAGAAGATGTGAGGACAGCTTACTGAGTGGTATGTAGTTAAAAATAAGAAGTTGAATAATTTGGTCCAATTTGGAGTCAGCTAGTTAATTATTTTACCGATCACCATGCATTCTGTCAGTTATAGGAAACAGCTTAATCAAGTGGGATAAAATTGAGCTACCAACAGGACATTCAATCTTTCCTCAATGGCCACAACCTTAAATTCTGGTAAAGAGTCTCACCCTGACTTTACAATAATGAGAAAAATACTTGAAACAAAAACACAGTTGCTACTATTTCTGCTTATATTACCTTGAAAACTGCAATACAAATACTTTAATCAATTCATCAATTATATATGTCACACACCTTTTTCACGTTTTACTGTTTCACGAACCCTTACGTATTGCAAAGATCACAATATTTCCTGCAAAATCGGTGTGCATCTGCATAACTATCACATATAGGGTAAGTTGTTGTATTCATACGAATACAGTCATCGACTGTCAGCAGATCCGCACAAGCTCCAGGATGGATTTCAGGACAGTTTGATTCATCTGACATGTCGCCGCAATCATTTTCACCATCGCATAAGTATATCTTGGAAATACATGTTCCGATCTTGCATTGAAAGTGGCTAGCATCACAAGTGCACGTGGTCTCATCGCTATGGTCTCCGCAATCGTTGTAGCCATCACACTGAAATAAGAGTATGGAAATGATGAATATTATTAATTCGGTACTAGCTGGCAACTGAGTAGCCTTAATTTTGTTTTTAACCCTTTCCATAGAAAACTTCTTTTAAAAATAGAATTGCAGCCTGAAAGATTGACACTAGGTGACTGGAATCGCCACTATTTGGGAATGTCCATCTTTTCTTCTTATTCTCTTGTCCTTGCCCCTCCCCCCCCCCCCAACCCCTTCCCACAATGGACACCAAGTCGTCCTATCCTTTGATGGTCATCGACATTCTAGTTATTTTGTTCTAAGGTTTATTCAGTATGGTTTACCAACGCCAGCGTCTTTTCTTCACCTCTTAATTCACCAGAATTTATTTAGTTCGCCCCTAAAGCTCACATAAGTAATTATATCATACAATTTTACTCATCTGTACAGGTACCAGTAAATAAATGTTTGTTGTTTACCAGTAACTGTTTTAATCTGGTCTGGTCTGGTAGTCTTAGTTTCAGCTTCATAGCAAACGGGTCGCCCCATCTTTGCTCCGCTCCTGTGCCAACGAAAAACACCCAGAATGTTTATCACAGTCCCTTGTGGAAAGATTGACAGACTGCTGTCTCAGCATATTTAGCATACACTCGCATTAACGCATATGGTAGCCATCCGAAGTGCTAACACAAACAGTCCAACATTAGAAATGTAGTTCATCATTGATGATGGCAGAACTTGTCGCCAACAGATCAGCAGTTGCCCGGGCGATCAATTTTAATACGGGTCCCGCCAGCATTGCACGACCGGCATCGCGCCATTTTCTGAATCTACAATTCACACCACGTTGGTCACAGTCGAAAAAACATTCCAAATGCACTCCGCAGCTCACAGGGTCACGCCATGCATTCAACTCAGAAGCTGGGCGACGAAACTATATCCAGTCTACAAATGGAGCAAAAATACTTCGGCCACCGTCCGGCAGAAGCAAAAAATTTGCCTTCGCTCCGAACAGCGCCGCTGTCTAGCGTCCATTTTAACCGGAATTTTTCTCCATTATTCAGATCCATACAATAATACTGGTGTGACATTAGAGCTATATATTTTAAGATAAGTACTAGTTTTAATTTGTTTGTCTTCAAAAGATTTCATAGTGATATGAAAAATCATCTTGTATTTTTTTTCGTATTTAAATATCTCAAGCAGTCAGATGCAGTAAATCAAACCAAGTATTGGGACAGCTAGCTCCCCTCCTACAGCATAAGACAATCCCAATCAGCACAAAGAGACATCTTATTCAAAGCATATTTATTCTAACTCGGTGCTACCAGTGACAGACATGGTCACTCACAACAAACCATAAAAGAAAATTAGTAACCATGGAGATGAGATGTCTGAGAAGGGCTGTAGGAGTGACCATAAGAGATAAGATCGGGAATGAGATCATAAGAGAAAAAGTCGGCACAGAACTAATTCTAAATTACATACAAAGACAGCAAGTGAAATGGTTTGCCCACTTAGAGAGAATGCCTTGTGCCATAGCATACAAAGCATACATGGAAAGAGAAGAAGGACGTACAGCCAAGAACAATATTGAAGGATAACATCAGAGAAGCTCTACAACAGCACGATGTGCCTATGGTCGAGGCGGCCAGAAGAGCCAGAAACAGAACCTTATATCTCCCTCGACACCCACAGCGGTTTAAGAGGCATTAAAGAAGAAGAAGCAGTCATCTTATCTATGTCCACATGACTACCTAAACATGGGTATGACTACACATCTTATAGTAGGATATCACCAAGAGAAATTTCGTGAATGGAATAGGGGAGCAATTCTAATTTTAATTCCATCTAGGAAAAAAAGAGAAAAAACAGAAACAATAACTCGACCACGTGCAGCGAAGATTCCAACAATCTCTGGTTATATCTGTGGTGTGGTTTTTTTGGGCCATTTGCGTAGCTATGATAGTTGTATGTGTGCCAGCTCTTTAGATTTAAGTCCCTAACCTAATATATAGACCGCTCCTTCTTGTCTTTGTCCCAATGTGTTCCTTTGTGTCCTTATCTTCCTGATGTTTTTTCTCCATTATCATCCTTCATTTGGTTCAGTCTCCTTTTTATCTTGCCCTTTTGTTCTCTGCTGTTTTATTTCCTTCAAATCTGTTGTCTTTTTTTTTCCTCAGACGTACCTCGTAAGAAACCCAGCTAGTTCACATCTATTCCTTACATAACCTCATTTCGGACCACTATTTATGATTTTTACAGTGTGAGTGTTTTACCTTGCCTAAAGTACTGGAAACAGTTTTTGGGTTTGGATAGATCCGAAATTGTAGAAAATATATCATGAATGATCATAGCGATCTTATAGATAGATGTCTGCTCGTAATAAGAGCGGATTATGCATATCATAGTGATGTGGATGAAATGTTAATGATCTGTGTTTCTAGACCTAAAATGTCGTGCTGAAGTCCGGATGTAAAGGTTTGGGATAGTGGATGCACTCAAGTGCTCAGCAATGTAGATTGTTATGGAATGTGGGTTGGAGGGAGAGGTGCACGTGAATGTACCTCATTTGCCAAAGAACTTATGTGCTCTCTGAGAAGATTTGCTGTTGGTGGGAGTAGGAGTGGTTCTCTAAATTTTTTCGCCGCGGCATCCTTGTCGGGCTAAAAACTTTTCACGACACACCTATCCCTAAAGCGGTTAAATACTTAGGGAAAGAAGAAAGCAAAGGTGCAAATTTAATTTTCACTTATCTTTGCCAAACAAAGAAAGGTAGCCAGGATATTTTCTTAGTTTCCCTCGGATTTTCTTTTGTTTGTGAGTTACCTTTCCGCGAACTGAGGCAGACCAGGTTTGATGGCTTAGACTCACAGCTGTCTGCTGAGACAATGTAACCATAACTTTACTTTAAATTGCACCTTAACGAATTCAGGTAAAGCATCGGTCTCACCACGAGATAAATACAAGGACAATTCGTAGCGTAACGGCTGGCATTTTATGCAGTATGAAACACGGCTGGGTGTGAAACAAACTGATTACGACAGCGGAGAGGGCAGACAACTTAAATATTACCTCTTAACTATCTCCATGGCTTCTTTAATAATTTCACAATGTGTTGCCGACTGTTCTTGATTAATGCTGTGGCACCCCTGGCGTACGCCCAGTTTGGGTTAGGGGTTGAACTCATAGTTCAAGGTAAAGACTTCTGGAGGTGGGAAAAGAGGGGAAGGACCGTGTAGTAGTTTATTTTGATTCAACAGCATTCAGTTTTGTTTGGTCGCCTGCATAAATCGTTGGATTCCTACATGGCCTATCAGCGAAGTACTCGTGGGGGAGGGGGCGGGGGCGGAGGGGGGGGGGTATGCAATCAGCGAAGTCCAGATATTTAAGCTGTTCTATAGGGGTCTGTTGATTAGTTGCGCCTGTATTCATAATTAGGTCCACTTTTGCTTTTGACGTCTATGAAGGGTTCCAGAACAGACAAAATACTATGGCGGTAGCACTGGATCTCGAGGATGCTTATAACAGAGTAAGATACGACATCTTGATGACTGCACTGACGGATAAGGAGGTCAGTCAAGGGCTTATGAATAGGGCTGCAGCTGTCCTGTATTCATGTCGGGCAGCTTTCCGACTGGGCTCATGGACCTCAAAACCATGCAGTTTAGCCCCAGGACTGCCACAGGGATCCGCCATCTCGCCTGTGCTCTTTAACATTTATATGAGCAAGACTGCAAGCCTAAATGCACAAGGAGTTGGAAGAATGCTAATTTTTGCGGATAATATACTTGCATATAGGCAGGGAAAAGAGAGGGAACAAACAGCTCTAGAGCTACAAGCGACACAGTGACTGAGTGGTGCACATAAATTAGGGCTATCATCCACCCGGAAGAGGCGCATGTTTTGTGGTGTTCTCTAGACAACAGGATCGTTAAAGCCTGTGTTCCAAGTCTCATGGTAGACGGTAGAAATGTCAATAGAGAGAGCTAACTGAAGTGTCTGGAAATTACTTCTGACAGGAGCCTGTCCTTTAAGGACCATGTTGCGAGTGTTGTGACAAGATGCCAAACAAGACTTGGTGCAATTAAGAATATGGCTGCAATTGGCATAGAGCACATAGAGCAGAGAATGCTTTTTAGACAATATCAGCATCTAATTCTGTCAGTAGATAATTATGGCTCGGGACTGCTTACTGTCTCAAAGAGTCAGATGGACAAACTAGGCGCCTAAAGAATGCAGCTATGCGGGTCATTCTGGGTTGTACCAGAGACACCCCAGTGGTGTGTATGCGATACATACTTGGTTTGCCGACTGTCTCAGGTAGGCACACGGTACTAAAGGCGAAGTCATATCTCAGGGTAGCTGCAAACACAGACCACCCTTTGCACGATGCTCTGGTGCAGTTAAGGGTCAGTGGCTGATAAGAGCGAAGTCATGGATGGCTCGGGCAGAAGACACAATCAAACAGGTTTGCATCCTTGAGAACATTAGGCGAGGAGAGGAGTGGGTCAAAGCTCCCCCTGAACAGTCAGATGTGTGAAGGGTCTTAATCACACTGAGGCGGGAATGCAGAGACTGGCCAGCAGGTGCCACGGAGGAGGAAATTAAGCAATTAATTAATGTTCGCTGGGAGGATTTGATTATTTACACAGACGGTTCAGTGACAAGAGGCAAAAGAAGTGCTTAGGGCTTCTTAGTTAATAGTCGACGTTTGGTGCAGGAGAGCCTAGGTTATGATACCACAACATCCAGCTCAAGAATGGAGGTAGAGGCGGTCACTGCAGCTTTCCGCTGGTTAGAGAACACGAAACACACACACACACATGATGATTGTAACTGACTCAGAAAGCATGCTGGGGAAGATCAGGACAGGCATGCTTAGTGCAGAGTGGCATGCTTTACTGCGAAGGACATGAGTGAGCAGTATTGTCTGTATTTATTCACCAGGACACGTGTGTTGGGAAACGAACAGGCGGACAGACTGGCTGGCTCTGCACAACTTGGTGAAATACTGATGCATTATAAGGCAGACGTGGTTAGTGCCTTGTGGGAGAGCGTGTACAGTTCGGAGAAGCAGATGGATCACCACAGTCTGGTGAGATTGGTGCAGGGCGAAGGGACGAGATGTTCTGGCTGATGCTCGAGGCTCAGAGGAAAGGCAAGACGGACGTTTAATCAAAATGCTTTTGGCACCATTAGTATCAGAACACTTCGCTGGCTGCTGAAGATGGGGACGGAGCGCTTATGGAAATGCCCCTAGTGCTTTGATGTCAGTTCTTGAATCAACTCAACTCATAATTTAGTACATCTTGTTCTTCCTTTGACGTAAAGCATCGCAAAGAGGTCTTTTGCTGGTTGCGTAGCTTCTGTTAATTATATTGCTATTCTCTAGTGTTTCTTTCACTCTATCCACCCATCTCTTTCTTGTTCTTGTCTTCTAGCAATGCTGACAGCATTATCACACTAATTTCCTTGTATTACGGTTTCTTTCTGTGGCCGCTGTTTCTGCTTTTCATACTAGGTCAGCTGAAAATGTCCTTTTAACCACCCTTTTTTCGCCTCCTCATGATCTCCTTAACGTTTGTCTTTTTCAAGAGCTTTAGCTTTAGCAGCTCAAGTAAAGCTATTCTCAAGATCTGCCTTATTGCTGTTCCTTTCTCCGATCTTTTCAATGATTCGAGTGTACCTACGCCTTAGGTTTTATATTTGACCAAGGTCTTTTACGCAAGATCATTTCCAAATTCCATTTTATCTATTCCCAGCAGACGTCAACGGTTACCTCCTCAGCTAACAGTTACAGAACCTGGTACTTATTGAGACTATAATCGACAATGTTTCCTTAATGTATTTCTCGCTGGGATATTCTAATTTTTTTGGGGTGGGGTGGGGGGGGGGGGGGTGTTCTATGACTGCAAGATGTAAGTTAATAAACTTATTTAAGTAAAAATAATGTGACACTTTCTCTTTTTCTTCAACATTTATGTTAGTATTTAGTAATTTTCAGGGGTGTTTTCTAACTGCTGAAGGTTTGCCGACTGTCTCAGGTAGGCACACGGTACTACATCAAGCAGTAGCAAAGCTTGTTTTTCAACATATGAGGAGTCATGAAGCTGTCATGAATTGAGACATCCTAGCATGCATACATACACACACACACACACACACACACACACACATAATAAAATGGAAAAAAAAGAGACAAATACAAAAAAAAAAAAAAAAAAAATAAGTAAAGACCCTTTTCCACGCCTTCAGGCGTATTAGGCATATATAGCAAGACCTGTATATTATAGATCAGTCAACCGTTCAGTGGGTAATGTCGTCAGCATCACGCCGGCCGCCTTCACTTACAAGAACTTGTAGAAGTGGTATCCAATCAAGACTGGGTCGAACTGGAAGCCAATGCCGTTTTTGGAGAGAGAGAGAGAGAGAAAAAAATTTGACTAAATCAGGACCCGAACACACGATCCGCCGTTTCACAGGCACACGTCTAGCCCCTACACGACGGCGGCTACCAACTTTTGAAGTTCTACTAAGGTTTTTAGCCCATACATACCGTAGTTGACCTTTGATTCACGACTCGTGTTCTTTCGAATGCGCTAGTCTATGTTACAGGGGAGTCACATTGTGTTGTTTTCGATGATATCACTTGCGATATAGCGTGTTCTATATTATACGAGTCGCCACTTTTAACGACCCCACAACATTTAGAACTGGCGCTAACATCAACCCACTAACCCACAACCCCAGCCTACTTCCCCAAGAAACTGTAGCCTACGTCCCGTGGTTTCACAATTTTCTGGACACAAGCAACATTGCTCTCCATGTCGCTCGCCAACACTGACAGCTGAAGTAAATTCATGTCCTACTTGAGGTTTAAAAAAAAAGGGGGGGGGGGGGGGGGGGGTGCTATAATTCATGCAACGGCGACGGTTGTTTAAATAACTAGTACACAAGGCGAAATATGAAAGGCTCAGAGCATCAAACACAACACAACGTGACACCACTGTAACATAGACTAGCGCGTGTGAAAGGTCACCAGGCATGAATAAATGGCCAATGGCAGTTTGGGGCAAAAAACGTTACTGTATAGTTCTACTTTTGAAATAGTTAACACATATTGATAACTACTCACATGAAAGAGGGGAATAACGTTCAGAGTTCACGTAATTTACAGCGTAGGTACATCGAGATTTAAAACTGTCCCCCTAAATTACACCAGCACCTCAGTCAGCAACTTCAAAAGTGTATTCATTGTCAGCCTCGCTCCCCCCCCCCCTTTTTTTTTACCCGCTGCAGTTCAAGTAGATTAAACTGTCCACGAGAGCTGGTTTAGTTCAGCTACTGAGCACAGAACATAATGTGTACATCTTTTTCGTTTCATTCACTCTCAGGTGTAAGCTCGGAAATATTTGAAGACAGCAAGAGTTAATATCAACCGAAAAACAGGAAATGTTCAGACTCCACTCTTCAGATGTAATTTACAATATCTAGTGTTTTTTTTTTTTTTTTACATCAAGCAGTAGCAAAGCTTGTTTTTCAACATATGAGGAGTCATGAAGCTGTCATGAATTGAGACATCCTAGCATGCATACATACACACACACACACACACACACACACACACACACATTTACATCTAATTACACGTGGACTTCTAGTACTTTCCTCTGGTCTCTGGGTATTAAATCGGACCCCCGTGTGCATTCTTACGAACGTTAAAAAATCTCTTGGCAGTTGGAAATCGAAAAGAGTAGCCTAATGGCGTTGCCCGGGCATAAATTCCGAGTCAAAAATCTACCCAAAATATTTCAGGATCCTCGCCGTTGCAACAGAGTTTGTGCACTGCGCTGAGATTCTTTAGAGTAAAGCTTGAGTTAGAATTAGAACGGAACATTTATAGGTTCCATCCGTGTGCATAATGTTGATCGGTCGAATAAAAATAAAGAAAAAAAAACGTAGATAGATTTAGTGCCATAGTAATATTTTTTTCTATGTCGGGGGCAAAATTAAACTAAACAGTTAGTGGCGACAGCATGCGGCACTAACTCCTCAGGCTACACCGACCTACACATACTGTAGTGACAGTTTTTGTTGTTGTTGTTGTGATGGTGGTGGTGGTAGTGGTAGCAGTAGTCTGGTACTGCATTGGTGATGTGGTAGCTGTTACACTGGCCACATGTACTTCTCAGTACAAATTAATGCTACCCATTTTAGTCTGGGTGGACACGGATGCCAAGCTCAATTTAGTTACAATATTTTGTCAGATGATGACTTTCCCATCCTTCGGAGGGGATGATATGATTAGCGAGGGAAGGGGAGGGGGTAAGAGGAAGGGGGGGGGGGGTTGATACCAGACACTATTAACTGAGAGAGCTTAATACATTATTTTAAATTTCTAATTTCTTAAAAAAATATTTTTTAATACTTTCGACAGGGAAGATTTTTCAATCCTTCAGGGAGGGAGATATGACTGGGTCGATGGGAAAGGAGGCGGTTGGGGGGGGGGGGATATGACAGACACTATTATCTGAGAGGTATTTTCTTTCTTTTCCATTTCACAATTCTGGGCCACAGCAACGCGTGGCCGGGTACAGCTAGTGTTGCATAAACGTGATCTTTTGTTGGTGTCTTCAATATATTTGTCTTTTCATAACGCATTTATAGTCGAACTTATGATGCTATATTTGCCAAAATATCTGTTTTCTTGGCATTTCATTGTTGTTTTTTTTACCCTAGCAATGTCGTCAACAATACAGTGATCTTCCCACTGTGTGTTCTCCACCCAGTAAATGACGGTGTTTCCAACGCAAGATGTGTCTATCACCCAGTCAATGGTTATGCAAAGTAAGAGTTAAGATATAATGCAACCCTGTTTCACTCTACGTTTAACTTTAAACCAATTACTTAAGTCACCATATTTTTGCACTGCACACCCTGAACCCTCATACATCGTTTGAATATTATTTATTCTTTAATTGGTATTTCATAGAATTCCAAATTCCCCATTGTGATGGTCTGCGAAATCTATAAGAGCCTTCTTGCAGTCGACGTCATTCAAAATAAAGGGGTTGTTTTTTTTTTCCTCTAACAAAATTCTCAGAGTGAAAAATTATATCCAAAAACCTTCTTCCGGGTCGTAAACCCGTTGTTCTTCTCTCGCGATTTTATCTACCATTCCTTTAATCATTGAGAAGTATTTTTTCATAAATTCATTGCATCAGCGAAAAAAAAGAGTAATTCCTCCCCAGTTGTTACAGTCAGTAAGATTACCGTTCTATGGGTTTTTAACAATTAATCCCTTCTTCCAGTGATGCGGGATTCTTTCATCAGTCCATATTGTATTAAACGAATCTTTAATGTAAGCCTTATCAGCTCGGCGACAGTCACAGATGTAAGCACCAATAATAACTTTGCAGTTTACATGACAAAATTCTTTAAAAGTGACTACTCAAGACAAGCCAGTTAATACAGGAAAGTAAAGTTGAAAATAGTTTCACAGTAAATATATGACTGCGCATATTTTAGGCTACGGTATTTATAATAAAGGGAGTCTCTTCATTGCTGCCCTTTTCCCCCATACAATTCCTAAAATTATCAGGTACTAGTATTATGAGACTAGATGTACCACTAGAAAGTACTTAGAAGAATGTAAACTGCATTACTGGAGATTGAACCTGGATCACCAATGTGTCTAAAAAGTGTAATTTAGCAATGCCCTATGCGAGAAGTGGACTCTTACCTTGTACGAAGCTGGAACACATATGTGATTGGAGCACGTAAACTGGATACTACTACATGTCCGTTCTGGACAGTTTTGCTCATCTGAGTGGTCTCCACAGTCATTGTCGCCGTCACAAACCCACGAGTTACTTACACAGTTACCATTGCTGCACTGTTGGAAATAAAATACAACTACTATTATTATCAAAGATTAGCAAACTCAGCTTCACTGTTCATTATTAATTTTAAAGATCATCTTAACTGCACATCGGACATGACTGGATCCCTGAGTTTTCAGCCATTCTCATGCTGTTGGTAATAGAAGCAAAGGCTTTGCTGTCTTCTTTTATGACTTTCTATTTGGTTCTTGCCGTGAAAACCAAGTTTCACTTTGCTTCTGACGAATCACAGAACCATTTTTATTTATAACAGCATCTTCTGGTGATGTGTATTCCTGCACCAATGTTTTCGCTTCTGCATCCTCTATTAGTGGCGCCAAACCACGGCACTGTCTTGTCAGTGTGATTCTTCTTCATCTTATGACTTTCTAGCTCCCAATGAAGCATAGGTCCTCAACCAGCTTACGCTAAGTCACTCTATCTTTTGTTTTCGAATACAGCTCTCCCTATGTGCTCCCCATTTTTCTAACTTTTTTCTCCAGCTCTTTTTTTTCTATGTGTTTTTTTGGCCTTCCTTTATTCATATACCCCTGTGGGTTCCAATGCAAAGACATTCTAGCTATGCTGTTCTCTAGTTTTCTCAATGTCTGTTGTAACCAATGCCAGCGTCTTTTCTTCACATCTTGGTCCACAGGAGTTTGCTTAGTTCTCTTCCAGAGCTCTACATTAAGGGTTATATCATACCATTTAACCCCCTCTTTTTTTTCGCAGGCACCAGTTAATGAATGTCTGTAGTTAATTAGTAATTGCCTCAGTTGTTCCCATGTTTCCGCTCCATACAAAAGTACTGATTTGACATAAGAATTGAACATTTTAAGTTTAGTATTTCCTTTAATTTTTTTTGACTGCCACAAATTTCCCAGAGCTATAAACGCTCCTCTTGCCTTTTGTATTCTATTCTAAAACCTCTATTAGTTCCCCCATCTTTATCTACATTACTGCCCAAATAGGTATACGACTCCACGTCGTCGAGTGGAGTGCCATTAAGAGAAACCACATTACAATTCGCCTGATTATTATCATTATCTTTGTCTTTTCTTTATGGATTTTCAGACCTAGCTGCTGTGATCTCGCATCAAGTATATTTAATTTATCTAGCATCTGATTCCATGAATCGGACAAAGTAGAAATATCACCAGCGAAGTCCAGATCATGAAGCTGTCTTGTAGGGGTCCACTGAATTCCATTCTTGGTGTTAGCAATTACTGTTTTAATAATCCAGTCTATAGCCAGTAAAAAAAAAAGGAGAGGCGACAAAAGACATCCCTGTCGCACACCTGTTCTTATTAAAAATGTCTTTTTATATTGCCTTTATTAGGTTAATAATTTTATGTAGTATTCCATAGTGCCCCAATAATGTTGAGAGAGATTGCCTATCAATGCTGTCGAAAACGTTTTTATAGTCTAACAATCCAATGTAAGGTGGTGAGTTCAGTTCAATGTTTTGATTTATTATACGTAATGTGACTATTTGGTCAGTACACGATATGTTTGACCGAAAACATGCCGGTTTATCGCTTAACTTTTTGTCGATATCAGCTTTTAGTCTTTCTAAAATAATGCTACTCAATATTTTTCAACAATGGCACAGTTCTAATGTAGAATTTGTGTATATTTGAGCCTTATCATTTGACACGTTAGACGTTTTCGCCTTTGTCAGGATCGCTTCTAGCGTTTTTTCAACAGCCACAAAATCCGCGCCGTCGTGCGCTTGCTTTTATCTGTGTTGGGGTCATCCGCCATTACATATGACCCTTGGCGCTTACACATAATGCTCTAATAGCAAAGATCGTAGCTCCGTAGCATAGGCGAAGATCCTGCACACAGCCAAACCACAGAAAATCTCTCAATGTTAGTTAAAAACCAACATAATCAATTGTTGAAGCAAAACGATAATGACCTAGATGCCATCTTGTGCGACGTCCTCATTGCTTATGATGGTCTATTGTTTGTTCCTGAGTGGTTAGTGCTGTCATTGCGTAAGTAAAGATGACACTAAAAAAATTGGTACATGTATCTATTTGCATGTCGAATCTTCCGAAAACTGAATAATCTGTGTAGATCTTGAGCTCAGGTACGTTTATTTTAGTCTGATGTTGTTCATCTGTTTTGCCTGTATAATTTTAGTTCATATATTTCATAAAAACTAAATTGTTACAATTTTTAAATCGGAGGACTGGGCACGCATGGGAATGCCCAATGTGCAGTGATGTAGATAGTGATAACAAAACAAAATATACATTCATCTCAACTAACAAAACCTGTGGTGTGTTTAGATTAGTAGTGTAAGCAATGCTGACATGTAAAAGTCATAAACAAAAAACATTAAAACGCATTTTTATAATTATCTAAGAGAACTTTAGTGTACAATTTTTAACTTGAAAGAATACCTTTTAATCCTATTGATTAGGAATAATAGCGTGATCAGCTTTAAGAAACACTTTTGAGATGCGAGCAGTTTACGATACCTGACATTTAACTTGGTCTGTTCAAAGACAAGTCAAGCCGTCAAACAGGCAAAACAGTTGTTAATTTTTATTCAATTAACTCTGAGAGTGGACTCCCCTCCCTCTCTTTGGGGGGTGGGGGTGGGGCGGAGGGGTGTACATTCCCCTTTTACCATTACGCCCTTATTTGTTCCTGCACAAGTAACCTTCAACAGCTAACTTGTCGGGTCTGGCACTTGCCATGAAGCTGCGTTTATACGTGAAAGTGTAGAACCACTTGTTTAGCGTGGACTCTTTACACTCGTCACTATCCTCATCTAGCAACGTGGATCGTTTGCACTCGTCGCTATCCTTATTATCAACACCATCTAGCGCCTTCTAGACTGGCGCAGGCAATCTCGCCTCTGCACTCTGGTACAATTGACCAGCATATGAATTCAGCACCCAGCTCTGACCACCTAGCAGAAAGCAATATCTCTGATACTGCTATACAATTTTGCTCTGGGAACAGCACCAACAGTCATGCCATGAAAAATCACCTAAAGATCCTTATTAGATTTGAATGAAGAGAAATAATGTTTACATCGTTATCTCCTCTTTTCCATTTTTCTGTTTTTTGTTTGTTTCATATTAGCTCTTCCTGTTATTATTATCTCTTATTACAGTTTCACTGTTCCATTTTGACATTGTTTAATTACTTTAGTTGTTTAGTTACTTCTTGTTATCAGCACATCTGCAGTCAATCGTTTGTCTTTTTCGTATTTTAATTCGAACTGAGTCCTAGAATGCAATGACAAACACAGGTGAGCAGGCACAGTGCTTGGGCTGTTACTAACAGATGACCGAATTACTAAAATATGATATACGAAAAAGAATCAAGAAAAACATATATGCACACCAAACATATCATATCTGAAAAATGCTAACCGCAAATCTTGAAGGCGGGCACGTTTTGGGAGCACAGCTTATCTCGTCACTACCATCACCACAATCATTGTCAACGTCACACTGATAGCTTCTGGGAACGCAGCGGCCATTCTTAAAGTAGAAAAAATTATTGCATTGTATAATCACGATGAGAAAAAGATACGGATGAAGAAATTATGTGAAAAGCTTGTCTGAAAGTATGTCTTGCAAATAAACTGAATGACCTGAAGAATAATATACATCACTGACGTAACTCTGCTTCCTACTAATAATTCTGACATCGTTCTTACCATATCCAGTATTCCCCTCCCTCCCCCCCCCCCTTTTTTTGCAATAAGCTTTTAATAGGTTTAGTACAGATCTGCAACAATTCTACAGTCTTTTCCAGTCAAGATCTTATCAATAGCATAGACTACATTAAAAGTGGACTCTCATTAAAATTTAGACTTATCCAAGTGAATACTCGGGTCCTTAAACTGTTTACCACACATTGTTTTTTAAGCATGTCTCTCCGTTTAGTTTTCCCATGAACGCCTATTTCATAATTAGCTACTAGCAAATTAATATTTTCGTCACGTGACAATAATAACAGTAAAATGTTCTTAAATAGAGACAAGTTTACGCATAAAATTTTACACCTCGTATTACGCCTCCAACATTAAGCTGAGGATACGAAGAAGAAGAAGAAGAAGAAGAAGAAGAAGAAGAAGAAGAAGAAGAAGAAGAAGAAGAAGAAGAAGAAGAAGAAGAAGAAGAAGAAGAAGAAGAAGAAGAAGAAGAAGAAGAAGAAGAAGAAGAAGAAGAAGAAGAAGAAGAAGAAGAAGAAGAAGAAGAAGAAGAAGAAGAAGAAGAAATAAGAAGAAGAAGAAGAAGAAATAAGAAGAAGAAGAAAAAAAAGAAGAAGAAAGAGGGGAAGAGGATAAGGAGGAGAAGCAGCAGCAGCAGCAGCAGGAAAACGAATGAACGATTGAACGAACAAACTTATGTTCCAATGAGTTTCAAACTGGACACATCTAGTTTTGCCCCAATCCACGTAGCGGCGTGGGAGATACTCTCCGCCTTTGCGGAAGTCGCCGGAAGTGCGCAATTTAAGTCGCCGGAAGTTCGCAATTGACAAATGACTGAGGCCCTGTTAGGGTATATTTTCGGCCTCGATAATTTGGGACCGTTATTAGGAGGATAGCCTGGAAGGGTTTTCACAAGTTATTGTGCATCGACCTTGGATTCTCTATGGTCAGAGAAACAGTCACGTTAATCCCGAACAGGTGGATTGGGTATTGACTGCCCTTGCCAATCACGGCACACAGTGTGAGTGTCTTCTTCTTCCTTCGTTCCCCTGAAATAAGTTGTCTATATCAGCACTTTTGTCTCTTGTATACATTTCATTGTTGTTGTTAATTCATTCAGTGGTCCATAGAGTTTACGTTCCACTGTTGTTCTTTCTGGCCAAAAGGTTTGCCTTAATGTGTCAAATTCGGTACAGTCCTAAAATACAGGCTCTGCTGTCTGGGGCACCTTTCCACAGGTGCACATGGCTGATACGCCTACCTTAAATTTTGTGTACATAAGGTTACTTAATTGGTTGTGCCCTGTTCTGAGGCGGAGAATAATGACTTGTTCTGATCTGTTCATAATAAAATAGTCGTCTTGTGCTGGGGCTGGTGGTTTCGTGATTGATTTAATGATTCTTTTCTTTTGGTGGTATGTGACTGGTACATCCGGCTGCACGTTTGTCGCACCTTCTCCTGCCAGTTGATCAGCTTTCTCATTTCCAGGCACTCCACAATATGATGGTATCCACTGCATTACAACTCTTCGCTGAAGGATAAGTTGTGTCAGCAGTGTTTGCAATTCTGGTAGTTTCCTAGACTGGAGTGCTTCAAGTACTGATTTGGCATCTGTCAGCATTACCACATACTGTGAGCCAAGATTGGTATTTAGCAGTTTCTCTGTTGCTATCTTGATAGCCTGAGTTTCTGCATCATAGTTATGGCAGTACTTTCCGGTTGGTACGCTGGACTTATCCCTAGTACCATCTGGGAATTCTATGTACACTCCAGCACCACCATTTCTAACTTCACTTTCTGTGGACCTATCTGTATAGACTCTGGCCCATTGTTCTTGTGGGTATTCTTCATCAATATAACTGAGGGTGGCCATTCTGCGTTGTACACTATCTTGTTATTTCTTGTCAAATATTCCTTTCACATTTGTCTGGATTTGTACTGTTAGTTTGCATTTCTCTCTCCATGGGGTTTGTCCTGGAATACTGTTAAGTGGACAACCAATTCCTGGAAGGTCAGCAGTTTGTCTACATATTTATTTTGCTTGATGTATAAAGCTGCTTCTTCTTTAACCGTCCCAAGGCTAGGTTCTGAAATCTATTTTTCATGAGGCGATCTGGCATACTGAGGAATTTTTCAGCTTGTATTTGCAACTTTGTATCTCTGCGTTCTCTCAGTGCCTGTGTTTTCCCAGCTTTCTCCATTTCAAATATGGGGGTTGATTTCATCCTTCCTGTGATGACTCTGAATGCTTGATTTTGCACTTTGTCCAACTTCTTTAATATGGTACTAGATGCTAAACACCATGCAGTTGACCCATATTCCAAGTGTGGTTGTATGCTCTGCTTGTATACTTTATTGAGTATTTTCCCACTGGCTTCCCATGTGGTTCCACTTAGTCTTCTTAGTATAGGTGTCTTCCTCCTGGCTTTGGTTGCTGCCTTGTTGATATGTTTTCTCCATGTCAACCTGTCATCAAATGTGACTCCGATGTACGTGGGCTCTTTATCATCCATGTAAGTGTGACAGGGGAGATCTTTCAGAACATCTTAGGTGTACCTGTAGCAGCAGTGGGAATGACTGTAGCCGTGTGATAGTCATATTCCATGATGCTCTCCATTTCATGATGTCTGAATAGAGTGTCCACTTGGATCGTGAACACGTGTCCGAATTCCTCTGTTACTGTTGAGCGGGAGTTGTGACCTGTAAGACTGACTTTATTGAGTACCCCTTATATACTCGGCAAGTGTGCGATCATCTAGAATCGAATGCGTCGATTTATACACACATTCACACACACACACACACACACACACACACACACACAAAGAAGAAGACGAGGAGGGCATGATGATGATCATCATGGTAATCAATCAGCATTATCACACCTATATGACAAAGAAAATACATGGGAATTTTACAAAGAAAACATACAGCAGAGAAATCATTCTAATCATCGTGGCACATACAAGGCGCGCGCGCTCGCGCTTGTGCGCGCGCGCACACATACACACACACACATATTCACTCACACAGACACAACGGCATATTCTAAACAGTTGAGCTTTTATAATTATTCACTGTCATATTTTACAAATAACTTAAGAGACAGTCGATTAACACATAGTAAGCCCAGATGCTATAATAATAAAACTGTAACAGTTTAAATAAAGAACGGAATGTAAAATTGTTTTAAAAGAAATAATCTAAACCCACATGAAATAGGGATAGCTGCAAATGCAATATTTTGTGTCAAATAAAGCAATCAGTTAACAGGCGTCTCATTAAACAAACATAATATCATTACATTTTAACTTCAACCTAATAATACTTAACCTAATATGTAATATGTATGTATTAATAATATATTAATATATTATTTTTTTATATAATAACACGGTAAAAGTAAAGGTCTTTTTCCCAAGCCTCTATGCGTATAGGGCATATAGGGCTAGACCTATATTTTTATAGACTAATCAGCACATGATAAGTGATGTGGTCAGCATCAGGCCTGACGCCTTTACTTCCTGGGACTGCACCCGGTATCCACTCAAGGCTTGGTCGACCTGGGGGTCCAGGTCCTTAAAAATAAAAGTCAGGCACCACCAGGGAGCAAACCTTTCGACAAGACAGATGAGACAGGTGGGGCGATCTTCACAGACGGGTCTGTTATACAAGGACATAAGAGTGTTTGGGCATTTACAGCTAGCAGAACAGTTAAGGAAGCCAGCGGTGCCTTCTCCATGACCATCAGCAGCATGACGATGGAGGTGATGGCAGCTTTCATGTGGCTAGGATCACAGGACTATTTCCGCGTGTGTGTGTTGAGTGATTCTTTGAGTATGATCGGCGGGTCGAGGCAGGCTGGTTATGCAGTGGCTTAAGTCATTGCAAAATTATCCTGTGTGTGCAGTAACTTTCATATTTGTCCCAGGGCATACAGGTGTTGTTGGTAATGAGAGAGCTTACAGACTGGCAGGCACTGCATTAATTGAAGATGGCCCGCCCATGGATCACGCAGACATTATCAGTGCCCTTAGAGAGATAGGACGTTCTGATAATTTTGGAAGCAACGTGTCCACATCACTTCTAAGAATACTCGAATTGGGAGTAAAAATCGGCACAGCCAAGCATGAGAAGCACACTAGACGCACACGAAGTCTTGTTAACCAACATAAGACTGGTACTATTAACCGCACGACGCTGATGAATATGTTGAGAGGGGAATCTGAGCGACTATTGATGTGTCTGGAGTGCTGTGAAGATAATCTAATTCATAACTCATAACTTCCGATCCGCACGTGAGCGTCTAGCCGCTACACCACGGCGAATCCCAATATACAGTAAGAATCATCAACTATTGAAGATATTGTTGCATTATATTTAGAAAGATATGCTTATCGAAGACGTATCTGTCTGCACTTTACAATTTTTTGTGTGTATTGTAGTTTAAACAAAAAGTTGTCAATAATGAAATCATTTCATATACATACAGCACACTTAAATTGATTTTGTCCCGTGCAGTCAGCCGGACAGTTCTGTTCATCATAGCCATTTGAACAGTCAGATATCGTATCGCAAGCATACGTTGCTGGTATACATCTTTCCGGGCAGCTGAATTGATCAGAACTACACTGCACTCTGGAAAAAAAAATGTTGTTTATTCCTGAAGTTCTGTCAAACTTTAAAACTCTTGAACTCAGTAACCGGTCGGTGTCAGTTGTTAAAATGCGACACGCAGCTTGTCAATAATCAGGTCCTTCTATGCATTTTTTTAAAACATAAACAAATCTGTTTCTCATTTTGCCTTATTTGCGGTATGTAAAAGGAACTGTGTCAGCCTGTCTGTTAATTACCGGCCACGCCGACATAGCCCGGAGAAAAGATCCAAAGTATGCTCACTACCCGTGACCTTCCGAGTATAGCTAGCAACTCTGCTCGAAGTATCCCTGTCTTATCCTTTCTAAGCATGCTTTCAAAGTCGGTTACAGTTATGACATCTGTATGTATCATGTTCTCTAACCACCGGAGAGCTGCAATTACAACCTCCCCCTAAATTCTCATGCTAGATGTTGTGTTGTCATATGCTAGGCTCTCTTGCGCTAAAGATTTTCCATTGGCTTTAGCTTAGAACCCCCAGGCACTTCTCTTTTCTCTCACCACCGAACCATCTGTATAGATAATCACATCACCTGGGCGTGAATTGCCGTGATCAACTGTTGGACTTCTACCGCAGCCCCCGATGATCACTCTCTGCACTCCCGGCCCAATGTGATCATAACCCCACACAGGTCAGACTTTTCCTCTGGTACTCTGACCCACTCCTCTTTTCGCCCAATGTTCTCCAGCATGCATACTTGTTTTACTGGGTCTTCTGCTTGAGCCAACCACGATTGTCCCGTTTTCAGCCTCTGACTTTTACCTGCAGTCAAAGCTTCGTACAGAGGGTTTCTTTGTCGGCAGCTACTCTGAGGTATGACTGCAGCATCTTTTAAGCCTGTCTGCAATAGTCGGCAATGCATAGATGTGCCATTCTCCTCAGACCGTAATGATCTATCTGTGCCTCAGCACTGTTCACTCGCCCCCCCCCCACCACCCCCTACCCCATCGCACCGCCCGTTTTCTAACATTCAACAAATATTAGCTGTTTTCCTTGTCGCTCACCTCTACAAACAAAAACACTCAAACACTAGTCAGTACAAAGTGCCCTAAGTAGAAACAAATATCCACACACACCCAAACTAAAGTCCATAGCACTACGACGAGACAAAAGTGTTTCAACTTCATCTATCATTTTTTTAAACAGACAATCCCCAATAATGCTTAATTATTATCTACCTATTTTTTTTCCCCTTTCAGCCAAGAAAAACAATACACTATGGTAAACAGATTAACTTGCATGCTTTGATTTCTCGATTTGTCAAAGTATTTTCTTTAGGCTTTGTGCTGGTAAAGAAAATAATCAAACTGCAGCTTTATCTCTACTCCTAGTTAAGACTATAACAAGTAAAGATAATCAGAACTGTAAATTAATATAATTCACTAATTTGTATTGACGAATCTAAGCCCAACAAGTGAAATTTAAAGGTAGTATTTATTCATTTTCATATCTTATATGGCTTCCATCTTGCGCTATTTCTACATTCCAAAGAGCCTTTCTGTAGTACAGACAAACGTTCTGATTACTGCCAACATAATTGAAGGTCGGGTGCACATAATGTGTTAATGCTATAAATAAAATTACCTTTTGTATTTACTGAAAGCTGTATTCATGTGTTTTGCATTTTCTAGTAGCTTGCCCTGCTTTGAAAATGCGAATGTTACGAATAACATAGTTACGCACAGAACCAACCAAGACATCTTTGCGATACGTAATCTTTACCAGCAGTGTAGTATTTTAAACTACAAGAGCTTATATTCACTATCACAAGCACATTAAAAAATACAAGAAATAATTACATTTAGATAATACTTTTTAGGGTCACTTAAAAACATATGACTCCGCAATTAATTTTTTTTTCAACAAAAACTGGAAACCGGCCAGGTCACGATCTTTCGGCAAGAACGCTAAGCTTCTGTAAAACTGCCAGATGTCAGGAAAAAAATTAGATAAGTTGTTGACATTTTACACTATTTAAAGTACGAATGCAGAATAAAAAGTTAATGATTATCTTCACTTTTATTGGTAGATAAAATATTTTTTTAGTACACAGAGACACACGTTTCCTTACTCGTTCATCTAAAAAAAAAAATATGTTGCGTCTCAATAGGGTAACGTAAGCTAATGTTTTTCATCATCATCATCATCATCGTCATCATCATTATCATTAATTTCTACTTCTGCCGTTAAAGGTTAAGGGGAGGAGCAGTTTGTGACCCTTTGCTTGATGAGCAGAATTGGCTATTGTCCCTGTGTTTCTCGAGTATCATAATGTTGATTCTTAATTCAACATTCAACTCCGTGTCGATGTAGAACCTCTTTAATGTCATCAGTCTATGGTATCCTCGGGTGACCTCTTGACTTCCCATCAGATCTTTTCATGTGTAGCTGCTGCGTTGGTGGCAGTTCTGCATTCTTATTAGATGATCAAACAATATATCCTTCTGTTTCTCAATGAATTTGCTGCATGGTGTTGTTCCCACAGTCTGATAATAACATCTTTAACTTTGTCACGGATGTTTTTTTTATTTTTTTTATTTCCAGAAACCATGAGTTCTTAACCCTTTGGCTCGGTACTATGGACATCGCAACCCATCGGCATTGATTCCATGATAAATACCGTAAATCTGGGAGAAATGTGCCTTTTCTGCCTACTCCCGGGAGTGAACCCGGACCACAAGGCGTTCGTCACCCGTTCACCGCGAAATCAGGTTTTGAAGCTGGCGGCTTTTCTGTGGCATTTCATATCACAGGTGTCAATTTTACGTAGGTTAGCATTTGAAAATGCCCAAGTCTCAGTGGTAGCACAGTGTTGGTATAAATATGCTGTTTATAGTCTGATTTTTTTGCGCTAATATTTATGTTTGGATGTCTTAATAACAATGTCAGTTCGTACATAAGTGCACTGGTTCGTTGTCAACTTGTTTCTTTTTCTGGATCTTCCGTCCTCCGAGAATATACTTCCTAGATATTTAAATTCTTTAACATTCTTCAGAGTGTGAGTCATTTTCTCCTCATTAAGTTATGCCCGATAGATGACGTCAGTAATAAATGTAAGGCGAATGTTTTGACTGACTGAGATAACACGAGATTTATGTCTTCAGTTTCATGAGAGACATCTGAAAGTCAGGTTTTATGTGAAACATGATTGTTCATGTGAACCATAAAGGTTGACTGGCAGGATTCGTGTGAAATGCGAATTATCACGGGCCAGACACGACTTTCAACGGTGGGAAATTCGTGAGAATGAAATTATCCAGAATATTCGAGAACATGATAGATCAGAGGGCTATATAATAGCGAAGAAAGGTTTGTGAGGCAGTCTCGTTTAGGCCAAGAGAAGGTGTATGTGTTCGGAAGAATGTTGACGTCTGAATAGCGTGATTTCCCAATGCCTACCTGGCATAAAATAGCGGCTGACGGAAACGGTGGCCAGCTGTGAATGACTGTCGTCTGGGTGGAGGGAGCTACTGTGTTTCGCTAAGTTGTGTGAATTCTACGATGTTACAAAGGTATGATTGACTGTTTAGAGCATTGATGAGTGATATTGTCGTGTATTAACATTTACTGACTGCAACATCAGCGAGTGAAAATAAACAGTACGTGTAACTTCTGAACGTCTGCCAGCGTCCATGTTTTCTCGTTCTTGTCAGTTGGTGAATGGAAAGATGCGGAGACTCATTCGAGCCAGCAATTAATAACAATGAAGATCACTGCAGAATGGGGAACTCGTCCAAACATTGGAGGATAGGAAAGTTGTTTCGTACAGTAAAATCTGAGACATTCGAAATGAGTTCAGTTATTAACCCGACGTCGGGTAGTACCAGTTCAACATACGAACGTAAGCGGGGAAGATCGATGGCGACATAACAACAACCCATATTCGATAGTTCACAGATTGAACAACTTTCGAACAAATTCCAGGCTCTGAATACTGATTAGACAAGTCCACGTTTTAAGTTTCGACCAAGTAATCAACAATCAACAAAGATGCAAAGGAAAGATTGCAGACAGTGACAGTGTCAAAGAGCAATCATTAATGTTAGCAAAGGAATACAACAGTAAGTCTACACAGAGATGATGTGAGACTAGGGCTGCCCCTCTGCAAAACTTCCGAAACCTTGTTGTTTGATCAAATTTTGCTGCCGACTAAAGTGTGGTAAAGTGTAGTGGGAAATCTACACTGAACAACACAGAGAAACGTCGACACCAGATCCTGTTTTTCGGATCTGTTTTTTCAAAACATAGAAAGACAGTGAAACACCGGGTAGAGTGTTAACTGTACGGAAATCAAAAAGAACCACAGCTCTGACACTGGGTATTTGTGTCGCAGCTCTACATTTTCAGCCGTGGCAAACCATTTAATAAGAAACTACAGTATGAGAAGCCTACAATACCTCAAGATCAGCACTCATTGAAGTCTTGTGATCAATAATGTTTCAAGTTCATCGTATAATCGCACATATCACAAGAAAGCGATAACAATAAAGCTTTCCTACGTCCTAAACACATTCAGTCGACAGGAAAAGCATCAAATTGGTCGGTGCAAATCTAAGTATTGATGAAGTGTGTATCTACCAGTGAACTATTTAGGTATCTGCAGTTAACAATGTACTATTTAAGAGTGTATCTAACAGTGAATTATTTAAGTATCTGCAGTTAACAATGTACTATTGAAGTGTGCAGCTACCAGTGAACTATTCAATGATCAATATCCAGTTTATGAAACCGATAGTACAGTGAACAGTACCACAAACAGTATGCAGCTTCACTGAACAATTGCTTAATCAGTGTGCATTCAATGCTAAAATTAATAGTGTGAACAGATAAACTGCGCGGTCATAATTAATTTCAGTGCCTAGTTGATGAAATCATTACTATGGTATTTAATTTTAATTAACCCGATCAAGTTATTATTTCTTCAGTATTTTAAAATTAGCAGTAACATATTCAACGGACAAGCTTCAACGAAACAACCTTCAAGAAAGCAACAGCCATCGCAGAACCAGCTTCAGGTCAACTTCAGGACAGTCAACTAGATCAGCACAACAATATACAGCATTGATTATTAATTTTATTTTTGATTTATTTTTCTGGTGATTCAGTTATTTATTATAATTATCAATATTTTTTATTTATAATTTACATTGGTGATTTCATTGACATCTATTTTATTTATTTATATTATATACATTGGTGTTTTTGATATTATTTTGCATTATTCTACTATTCTTTACATTATTTCGTTTTATTTACAAATATTGGCAAATTGTATTGAAATTCTATATATTTTTTTCATTTTTTAAAATTGTGGGTGTTATTTTACACGAAAGTTCAGTACCACCATCATCAGGAAGTGCCATAATTAATCATACATAATTAGGAAGTTACCAAAATATTAAATTAATATCATACACACATCATCATTATCAAGTGTCAAAGTTATTTCTATTTGAGTTTAACATTTGATCTACTCATTCACATTTGACCATCATCGAACGTAACCACTATAACAAAAGTACAGTGTGGATATAAGAAATTGTATTGTATTGGGGATTTAACAGTGAATTGGGGAAAGATCATTGTAATATTATTTGGTGAGACACTCATTGATTCAACACTATATCTTTATTTAATCTGTATTGAATAGTATTGTTCATTTCTAATATAAACTAAAGGTATTGGTGGATAAGAATTATTTTGTTACAAGTTTCTGCATATATATTGTAACTGAGTTTTGCTTCATTGAAAGCGAATTTAATAAGCATCATACTGAACAAGTGTATTTAGTAGTTATTACGTCAAATAATTTAAGTATTTAAGAGTATTAGTGATTACTCTATCACAGTCTATTATAAAGACTAATTCAATCAAATATTTTTTTTAATTTTTTAGAAGAGTATTTAATTATACCCAGACTGTGCGGCCATTAAAGACAATTTTTCTTTTGGTGTTATTTCACAAGGTATAATCAGTCTGAAACTTTATAACCAATTACTGTACTACACAGGATTATTATAACATTTAATCATTGTTACACATTTACATATTAATTAGTTATTTATTTGGTAAATACTTTGATAGTCCACTACATCTAACACTTTGATAATCCACTGCATCTATTCTAGTGCTACAACATTCTATTACTTGATTAATAATCTTTGCCAAATAATATATCATTTTCTTGCTGTCATATCTAATTTCTCAAGTGTGGTTAACTGATTTACTCTCCCATAAGCTAAACAAATATTAGTTAACTCTTCTTCTCAAACAACTGTACATATATAGAATTATTTAGTTATAGGCTTGGTGGTTGGAAGAGTTACATCCACTTTTTTTCAAGGTATAGTATTAATACCCAGGGACATTTAGTTATTAATTCAAGTTACTAGTTCATTATATTGAACTTATATTGTTCTTTTTAAGGTGTGTATTTTGAAAGAAAGAAATTGTAACTTCACTGTTGTTTACATTGTAAAGACATAAAAATGTCTAACTTGGCAGAACTGATCAAGCTGGGCAAAGAATTAAATTTAGAAGGGGAAGAACTTAGAAAGTTTTGTGATGAGAAAGAAAAGAAAATACAAGACGATTTGAGGGAAGAACGAAGATTGTCTCGAGCACACGAACTAGATATGAAGACACAAGAGATGGAGATGAAAAATAGACAACTGGAACAGGAAAAAGAAATGAAAAATAA